ACTTCGGGAAGCTGGACTTTCTTTTCGGGCAATTGCAGTTAGAGTGCAACGAAGTGTAGACACTGTGGTTAGGTATTGTCAGGCATGGCTTCGAGAAGGCCTTACGCAAAGAGCAAGGGGCACTGGACGCCGCCGTAGAACAACAGACCGTGAAGATCGCCGCCTAAGATTATTGGCCTTAAGGGACCGTTTCTCCACTACCAGGTCCATTGCAAATGAATGGTTTGCAGAAGATGGAAGACCTATTGGCATGCGAAGTGTTTACCGACGAATGAGAAGTTTTGGCTTGTTTTCATACCGGCCACACTGGGTCCTCCCTTTAACTCGAGAACACCGACGTAATCGCCTTGAGTTTGGGGTGCTATAGCTTATGGTTCCAGGTCACCTTTAATCTTCACCAGAGGTAGGATGAACGCGCAGCGTTATATCCACGAAGTTCTGGAACCCCATCTTTTACCCTATCTTGACACCCTGGCAGATCCAACTTTACAACAAGATAATGCCCGACCACATGTTGCAAGAGTCACAATAGACTTCTTTCAACATAATGATGTCACATTGTTACCATGGCCACCAAGATCTCCCGACTTATCCCCAATTGAGCACGTGTGGGATATGATGGGTAGGAGATTGCTCAATTTGCAACGTCCTCCTCTAGGCGCGTTGGAGAATGCGTAGCACATCAGGGTGCATCCACACATTATTAAAGGTCAAAGGGCTTTAAAGCAGTGCAATCATTTTGAAATTATTATCATTTACTTATTATGCTTCATTAAGTACTTATACAAAATTTTATTAAAATAAAACCATTTAAACTGGGTGTTCGGATTTATATGTCACTTAGTATAGTATGATAACAAAGCACTAGCTGTAAATAAGTTTTATTTAATCTTGTGTACTTGTTTGTTTCTATTCAGTGTACCAATATTTAATATAATATAATACTTTTTTGGCCCTTGACTTTTATAACTCAGATTGCTGAAATATGCCCTACATTCAAAAGTCAATATCATTACTAACTACAGGGGAATATCCATTATGAACAATTTTGATAAGCTCCCTGAAATGATATTATATGAGCGTATCTACCAGTCTGCCAAAAATTACATATCAGCACTGTTACACGAAATTTCGGTCAACTATCAGCTACTAGCGGTATTTAACCAGTTTCTATGTGAACCAGTGGACAGCAGCGGTCAAGTTGATGTAATGTATACTGATTTTTTCAAACCTTTTGAAAAGATCAGTCATGAGACTCTTCTCAACAAACGTTGCTATCTAGGCTTACAAAATAATCAGTTCTGGCTATTAAAATCATATTTATTTAATAGACAACAGTATGTATGCGTAAATAATGTGAGTATTCACTGCGACTAGCGGTGTGCCGCAGGGATCCAATTTGGGACCTTTTCTATTCTCACTGTATGTCAATGATTTGTGTGATTCGCTTACTTGCCATAAGCTAATGTTAACTGTCCTACAGAACTGTTGTGTTAGAAATCACCTACACTTGAAGACGTCTATACCGAAAATAGTATCATTCAGTCTTAAGTCCAAGCCTACATCTTATCGGTATCCTATTGACAATTCAGCACTAGAGATCTAGGTGTCTATTTTGATAATCAGTTGACATTTAATTTTCATGTACGCCTAACAGCGCTTAGTGCTTGTCGCAAATACAGTTTTATTATTCCTAAGGATTATCGTCTCTGTATTTGTATCATTGCTATTGAAAAAGCACAACAGAAGTTTTTAAAATTCATAGCACCTAAAATCGATGGTGTGTACCCGCCAAGAGGTTGGTAGATACCAAAAATAACTACTATTTACACTTGGCAATAATGGAGTTTCAGAAAATATCGAGGCTATTAAACCAGGGTTCTGCTTTAAGAGAGGGGTAGGTTAGGGCACTTTTCTCTATAATTTTACGAATTCTAAAAAAAAGTTTGTTTGAACACGACCAATTTGAACGCCACTCCTAACCGGATTAATAACGAAAAGTTGTTGGATTTATTCGCATGTCAGAGATATCAAATACCCCGGCAACATCTTCAAATCATAACCATATGGGTCTTCAGATGGACTGGATATAGTGTTGTCAGTGCAAACATCCTAATTTATGTTTATTTTCGTAAAAATAGAAGAAGAGTGGAAGCTGCCCGTCCTTGTTGGTTTTGTTGCATTTTTTCCTGGAGCGAGTGAATCAGATGGAAGACCGCATGTGGAAGTGAAGGCTGTAGACCCAGCGGCGTGCCTCTCGAAGGGAAAAACTAAAAATATGGAGTCAAGTATATTAACTCCAGTACCTCTATCTTCTCTATATACGTATAAATGTGAATGGCTATCCAGTTTGTCAGAATCGTGTCTGAATCACAACACGGAGGGACGCAAAACTTTGTACAATTACTAACTGAAACCCGAGGAAAATTATATGGTTTCATTCGCGAAAATATACAGCGTGTTCAAGAAGGATGGATAAATCAAAATATCTCAAAAAATGTGTTTCCTAGAGAAAATTGTAAGGTTTGAAAAGATTCATCTATCGGTCACCTTGAACGTGACCTTGACCATGACATTTAAGGTCAAGACAATTTTCTTAAGTCAAGCTAACGTTTTTCACAGCGGAAATGTAAAGAACGGGGAATTTTACGTTACCCTTTCCCATTATCTTGACCATGAATTTTTTGGGTATTTGAGGGTGTACAGAAAAATATGTTTCAGAAAGAGAAAACTTTTTGACAAAATTGTATCGCTTGAGAAGGTTTATCTGTTGAGAACCTTGAACGTGACCTTGACTATGACGTTCAAGCTCATTTGAAAGTCAAGAGAGTTTTCTTAAACGAAAACCACCACTATTTTTGACATGAAAAAAAATACAAGAAACTTTATGTTCAAGTCTGCTTGACCTTGACTATGACCATCTCATCGTTAATTTTTAACAGGAAACATTTATTTTTAATATCTAAAATGCAAATTGCGCACAACATCAAGTTCTGATGTATCCTTGCCAATGAACCTGACCTGACCGAAATTAATTTATGGCTGAATTAAAAAAGGCAATGATGCAGTACACAGAAGAACATACATAGAAGATTTAAGTATTATGTATTAATCATTAATTTCATGAAGACAAATAACCTTCACCACATAATAAGTTATCAACAAAAAGGCAAAACATCAAATATAACCAAAAATAGCTCAGATTCTTACTTAGAAATATCTTCCTCCTTTCCATCGATCTGTGTCTAGCTGTATCTCGTAATAGTCTTTTACTTGTCATATTGATCAGTTGTCTAAATGATATCTAAAATGTTCATAACATTGGTTTTGGATCATCACAATTTCGAATAAAAAGGGTGAGTTCACTTTTTTTCTGCTAATCGAACACAGAAAGAACTGTTTATTCGTTTTTCAAACATCTATCCAATCATGTTATCTTTGTTTTATTTTTAATGTTTTTGTGTATATGTTGGAAATTGCTATCTTCTTAATGACATTCGGGGAGGAATTTAAATAGCTCATTTTATATAATATCTTAACCAAAATAAGTATCCTTTACTTAAATTTTATTATTTAAATTCTTAATTAATGTATGTGTAAAGTGGGTGATTTAATTTTATTGTAGAGCCCTGAAGAAGTAAATAAATTTTTCTGAAACATTGGTAACTTTATAACAGGAGACTTTGTTTCTTTAGAAGGTAAGTTCACTGAATTACAAGAAAGGTGTATTAAAATGTTGGATAAAAACGCTCATTGCCAAAGCAACTAGTTCATTACTTTAAATATTGCATTTCTATATTCCAAAACCAATCTACTTCACAATAATGCGAAATGAATGACCTACACTTTACACTACGAGCTTAGTCCAGAGCTTAATAAAAATTGAGTTGTCACTCTCTACCCTCCCCTATACTTATCCCTTCACAATTTTCTTTATAATGCTCAGATGACATTAAAAAAATGAACTTCTAGTTTTGTCGATTTTTCTAATGTTTGCAAACTGTACAACGTCTACGTCTTTGCCACGCTGAGAGATTTCTTTTGACTCACATCACGCTACAAATACCTTTCATACTATTTTAGATACTTCGATTCAATTGACAGTAGCAAGTTTACAGTAATATTTTTAATAGTTCCTCAACATTGAAACTGTCACCTCTTTTTGTGTTCGATAAATCAGATTCACAACTTTGCGGGTAACAGCAATTTACATGGAGGCATAGTTTTGTAAGTTTGTGAGTCTTTCTCAATTGTCCAGGAAATCTTTCCACAGGATATTGAATAAATGCCCATTTTTAGGTCAATAAGAACAGAAATTAAACGTATAATACGTCAATTAGAACATATAAAAAATGCAAGTTTAAAACCAATTTTTTAATTTTTTTTATTCAAACATAATTACAATTTTATATTGTCACCCTCAAAATAACTTCCATCTGAAGCCACTTACCGCTGGAGACGGTTTTTACACCCCTTATAGCACTGCTGGAACTCCGATACTCAAATAGCCTTCAGCTGGTCGGTTACAGCCGTTTAAATGTTTTCGATTGTCCAAAAATGAAGTGATTAAAGTGATTTTTCAACTTCGGAAAGAGAAAAAAATCACAAGGACTCAAGTTAAGGCGGGCACAGATATGTGGTAATCGGCGAGCGGCGAATAACAAGTAATCGGAACTCGACGAGTACCGACTTGTCTGTTATGGTTGCTCGTGCCGATTAATCGTATTGGGCCGTTTCCCAGTCCTTGTCGGTATTTTGTGCCGCTTCAAAGCAGACGAATAATTGCGTTTTGTGTCGATACAGACATTCGAGAAGCTATTCGCTATTTGTGGAGAAATTTCAGTTTATTTTTCGTTTTAAAATGGAGTGGAGTAATGAAACAGTACTACAATTTTTGGATTTCTATGAACAAGAATCATTAATTTGGAATCCATGGCTGAGTGATCATAAAAACAGAAATCTTGTATTCGATGCTTGGAAAAGAATAGAGAAAAATATGGGTGGAAAATACTCTGTCACAGAATTAAAAAAGAAAAAGGATTCCCTAATGGCATCGTTTAGGGCTTGTAATAATAAAGTTAAAGAATCTACAAAAAGTGGAGCAGGTACAGAAGACATATATAAACCAAATTGGTTCGCTTACGAAAGAATGGCCAGTTTCCTTCAAAATAAGAATGAGGCAAGGAATACAATAAATTCAGAGGTAAGTAATAAATACCTACTTTTCTTCAAATATTTTTATTGAAAACTTGCGTGTTTATATAAAAAAAATTAAGCATTAACAATATATATCTTGCCAAGATACTCTTCCGTTGCTCATAAAATATTCTGCCAACTCATTTCTAATAGTTCTTGCTTCCATGCTGGGCTTTCTTGGGATATTACGCAGTGGGAGTAAACTTGACATATTATCTTGATTTTGACGCCATGCACCAGGTGTAATATTTCCATCTTCTTCGGAGTCAAACGTTCCGGGAGGGGAATAGTTCGAACGCGATGATCTGCTTTTTCGTAAAAAATTATGTAAGAGGACACAAGTCATTACGATTAATGAAACTGGTTGAAGTAACATTGGTTTCCTTAAGACTCTGAAAGTAGAAGCCATAATGCCAAATACGTTTTCCACGACGCGACGTGCTCTTGACAAACGATAGTTGAACGTTCTTTCTTTGCTTCCTTTTTAATGTAGACCTGGATAAGACTTCATGATTTGTTTACATAATCCAAATGCATCATCGCCCACAAATAAGTATGGAATTGGAATATTTCGCCCTGGTAATGGCTCATCTGAAGGGCAATGCAGTCCGTTATTTTCGATTTTTTTAAAAAGTTCTGTATTTCGAAAAACAGCACCATCGCTTAGTCTTCCTTGACAACCACAATCAGCAAATATAAAATTATAATCAGCATCAACTAGAGCCATTAACACTACACTGAAATATTGTTTATAATTATAGAATTCAGATCCACTGTTTATTGGAGCCTGTATTGTAATATGTTTCCCATCCATTGAACCAATACATTGAGGGAAATTCCATATATTTTCAAACTGTTTGGCTATATTCTTCCATTCGCTTTCATTTGATGGGATCTGAACACAAAAATGAGAAAATGCCTTTAATATATACCAATCAGTGCCTTTATGGAGTAGTACTATACTTAATTCATTTATTAATATTATTAGCAATTCAGATAAAATTTAGTGTTTCAAATTTTAGCTACAATTACCGGATTTACTCTTTCTAATAATAATAGAAAATAGCCTTATACATTATATTAATATAATAGTATAAAATGAAAGTAACAATTAAAATTATGGATAATGTGGTTTTCTTATTTATCACTTTATTTTCAAATTTCAGAACCTCGCATCACAGCTGTCGCAGGATGAAACAACTCCGAACGATGTAAGCGCTAACGGAAGTAATCATACTGAAAATATTCCTGACAACATAATTGAAATAGATGAAAATATCCTAAATGATGGTAAACGCATTTATTTAATAAAATTTCATCTTTTAAAAAATTATTGTCTTGCAGAAATACTGCCATCTACTTCGAAGTCTTCCTTCAAGCGTCCTGCGCAGAAAAAGAAGAAAGTGACTGAAGAGGTTGAACTAAAAAGAAAAGTAGATGAGGCATATACTATTATGCAAAGCAATGCCCAAAAAAATGCAAAAGGAAAAGATTTCTGTGACAAATATGGGGAATTGGTTGCTGAAAGATTGAAACAGTTTGATGAGAGAACTAGGGACATTGCAATACATCGAATTGATAATCTTCTTTTTGAAATGAAAATGAATTTGAATATGCCACTAAATTATCAGCCGTTCATGCCTACTAATAATTAAAATGTAACTGTTTCAACTTCTGTGAACCCGCAATGTAGTCCATTATCATCGCCTTCTGAATCATCGTTTAGTAGTCGTCAATCTTCTACCAACTTTGCCATTGGACTTTCCCAACCACCATCACCTTATCAAACTTCTGCGACGTTTCAAGAAACTCAACAATGTTCCCCATCTGATGAGTCACAATTTGAAAGTTTGAAGCAGTGTTATACAAGTTTCAGATAAAATTATAAACATTTGATATGTACTTTATATGTATGTTTTTTTACTTTTGTAGAAATATTACTTTTCTACCTTCTTATAAAATAACGAAATAAAAATGTTACCTGTATTACATTACTCAGGACTTTTATTAAAGCACTGCATACTTCTGGAACTATGGAGGAAATGAGTTGAGCTGATATTTTAAACAAATAATGTAGGCTCTTAAAGCTGTCTCCCGATCCTAGAAACCTCAAAGTTAAGGCTAATCGTTCTTTTCCCGGAATAGCTTTTCTCCATCTTATATCTTTTTTAGAAATCACTGGCTCTATTTTTTGAAGAAGTTCTTCAAAATCTTCAAAGGACATTCTGCAGAAGTTTTCAAATCTGCCAGATGGTTCCTTTAATAAATCTGCCATCAGATGAGTTCCACTTTATCTAAAAAAACATTATATTTTTAAGTAATTTTAGTATTGGTAATAAACAATAAAACAATTTTACAGGATATTTGCAGGTTATAGGAAATTAAAAAAAAATACCACCAAAATTATTGCTGAATATACAGAGTTGCAAATAAATTAAGAAAGAAGGAATTGAAAACTACATCAAATTATGCAATAATATCCATTTCCTTTCATAAACGAGTTTTTTTACTTTTGACAAATTTATATCTTTTTAATTTTTGTGATTTTACTTGCTGCCAAGGTTACTTACCTTTCTCTACTTTGATTAAGTGATACCATCCACCACCTTCTTCTACTTCTTCTCCTAGACTTCTTTTTTAATAACTGTAAATAAGCACCACTCATAACTACAAAAGCAGCAGCATCAGTCATCAATGTTTCACCATTCATTTTCACCATTCGTACATTAATCCTTGTTCGTATTCATTATTTCCATACCGAGCAATATTCGGCATTTACGCCGCATGTGTGTATGGTCGTGCTCGCCATATAACAAATAGCTACCGAGTTGCTCGTCGAATGCCAAATATTTGCTATTCGCCGAACACCGCATGTATGTGCCCGGCTTTAGGCGAATAAGGAGGCTGATGACCCACATGAATGCTTTTGCTGGCCAAATACTCGTTTTCTGACATTACTCTGTGACAAGGAGCATTGTCGTGACACCTAGTAATCTGATGAACGGTAGTGTGAGTCAAATTTAACTCTTCTCCGATCATTCTGAACTACAAGATCCCGGATTCTGTCGATATTTTCAACGGTTCCTGAAGATGAAGGACTTTCGCTTCGTGATTCATCTTTAATCCACACTCTCCCTTCTGAAAATGCTTCAAACCATCGGGCTTTTGATAAAACACTATCTTCCCAAGCCTGCTGAAGATAAGCAAGAACTTCCTTTGCTCTGTGCCCAAGTCTGAAGCAAAACCTGTTAGCACACCGTTACTCCAAATTGATGTCATTCATTTTTAGAATACAATAGGAAAAGCTTTTACAAAAAAAATCGCTACAGATGAGTCGAGCGAGTTCAAGCTTGTACTGGAGGCGGATCTCAAGAAGAATCTAATTTTTTAGTGCGATTGTAAAGTATTTTTTTATATCTTTTAATTTTTTGTGTTGAGCACCCTATTTCATTCAAACCTAAATACGCCCATGTGTGAACCACAATATGCGTGCTTTGGTCCCCAGATGTGGCCAGATTCAAATTTATTTCCCAGTAATGACTTCCTGCGGAGAGACAATTATATACCTTCGGCCATACAATGCCAGCACTGACGAATGGTGATGCTGATTTATCACGTGATTGCCCTATCAACTCGCTTATTATGATACAGTACTTTTATTTCTTCTGCTAGTCATCGGATTTTTGAACAGCTATTAAGAGATCTTCAGCTTGGTTTCACGAGTAATTTCTCATCGTCAATTCCAATAGGTTAGCATTTTCTAATCGCTTTCTACGTGCCCTTAACAAAAATACTGTACTTGATGCGACGACTCCGCTATTGCTATTGCTATTCAACCAACCCGTGCCGGTATCATGTAAAAAACCTACAAAACGTCAAAAAATCTTATAAGATGTCAACTTGCATACAAGGTAGTTTTTAGGGTGCAAACAGTGGTCCCACGTTTGCTCACTAGGATCGTTGTGAACGTCCATCTGTGAAGGAATCACTCAACTAAACTACGCATTATTGGTCCCTAGGCGACAGAACACACTACCGTACGATAAGGTTGCCATACAGATAGACTGGTAGAGATCACGTGAATAATGGTTACAACAGGAGTAACCCTCGAGGACATATACAAGCTGATCAAGGAGGGTAATCAAGAACTCAAGGGACAAATTAATAGCGTGAGCAAGACTGTTAATGAAGCCAAAAAAGAAATAAACAACATCAATAATAAGTATAGAGATATCGAGAAGGAAAACTCATTATTGAAAAGCAAAATCCTTAATCTAGAGAATAAGCTGAAAAAATATAACATAGTCATCTATGGGATAAAGGAAAGTGATAAGGGGCCTATGGAAGAAGCACTATCGAAGGAAAATTAGAATTTCAAACTTCCCCAAGTGCCGTAAGGGACTGTTTCCGTGTTGGCAAAAGGCTATCCGATTCTGATAATAGAGCTAGGCCACTTGTCGTCGAATTCGTTAATTACAACGTAAAACAAAAGGTTTTGGAGAAGGCAAGAAAACTTCCTAAAGGTGTTGGCCTGTTTGTCGATAACGATTACACTCCAGAAGAATACGCCAAGAGAAAATTACTTCATCAGCACCTGAAGAAAGCCCGAGAAGCATCTAATTCTGCGTTTATTAAAAACAATATTCTTTATGTCAATGGCGAAGCATTTTCCTGGGAAAAGCTACAGAATGACGATACTGGCGACCATCAGGATGAAGGAATCATTGAGACAGTTATCTCTAAGCAGGATAAAAATACCGAAGAACAACTGATCCCTGAAGATACGAAAAAAGGGGAAAATAGACTGCAATATGAACCAAGCAGGGTCAACAAGTTAGTTCCAGCAGGCCCATCTAAAAGTACTCCTACGTCTTCACACAAAGTGCCTAAACTACGCAGTACTTCAAAGTAACTGAACTGCGTGAATTCACAAACGCTCATCGCCTTCCTATACCTAGTTTTATTGATTTATTATTCTGTTCTGTTTATCCGGGTGTTTTTATTAGTATTGCATATATTTGTTGCGTTGTCTTTATTCTGTATAGATCTAATATATTTATCATGTGGTTATACTCATTTTACTTGCAAAATACGTTGGTGCTCTTTAAGAATAAGCCTTCGCCAGATGTTTTCAATATGTCTAGACGTCTAAAATGCATGAGCTTCAACGTAAGGTCAATTCAGTCTGGTTTTCTAACTTTGAAGGAGTATGTTGTTGACTGTGCTGTCGATGTCCTGGGTCTCAGTGAGACTTGGCTAACCCCAGATATTGATTCCTCCTCAGTATTTATCAACGACTTCAATGTCGTTAGAGCAGATCGAAATAGCAGAGGCGGGGGCGTCGCGTTTTATGTGAGAAATGGTATTGCCTTCAAAATATTGCACTCTAATATCACCACAGTATTGGAAGAACTTTGGATCTCTGTAAAGGTTAATCAACGCAAATATTGTCTAGCTATAGTCTACCGTCCACCATCGGCAAACATGCTTGTCTGTTTTCATCAATTAACCGAGTCTTTAACCAACCGTTCACCCGATAATGATTACGCAATTGTCATGGGCGATTTTAATATTAATGTTTTAGTGAACGACGGCCGATCCGAGATGCTGAACTGTTTTCTTGAGTCTTTTGATCTGTCCCAGTTAATGAAAGAGCCCACACGTCTAACTTCCAATAGCCAGACAGCTATAGACTTGCTCATGGTTAGCTCTGCGAAAAACTGTGGAGAATTACGAGAAATCATCAGCGCGCCCGCATTGTGTGTAATTACTGTTAGCATGTATATGGCTAGTAATTCGACAGTGTACAGTGAATATAATTATTTCTTATCTCTCTCATTTTTAAAATTCAGTAAATTTGTATATGTAATTTCCAGAATGGATAAGAAAAAGTGGATCCGCAACTAATTTCTAGCTTTGAATCTCAATTAAGTGTATTTGAGACAAGAACCCAATGTAATTATCATCAACACATACAACTTACAGCTTAGACCTCCAGTAATGCCATCTCAGAAACAGATTTTACATCACATCAAAGCCAAAGATTGATAACAAGCGTCATGACGTTTAGGCAACACGTACAACTGCCAGTGCTAAGTTAACATCTTGTAGACTAACCTACATAATGTCAAAAAAATAGTATCATGTCAAAAAAAATCGGCATAAAGTCGCTTTTCAAGATACGTGATACCCGTGCTGGATCTCGCGAAAAAATCTCTTTTATAAAAAAAAGTTAAATGAGTGACTTTGAACGTATGTTTGTTAGGCAACCAAATAATCTTATATAATTAGTATGGAGTACAACCACAAAGTGGCGGTGATGCTGGGTTTCCCGTCGTTCTTTTTGACAGTCCAATGTTCAATGCCTTGACGTTGATGTACTCGTAATTCTGAATTGAAAGTTGAATTTTGTCTAGCGCCGGCGTTTTTATTAGTTTTGTGTCGGTGATACTGATATCTATTGAGCGTTAACTGAATTTAACTTTACAAACTTAATATTTGTAATGAAGGCTTATCGAAAGCGGGGATTTCAAAAATTGCGTGGTGCCTGTACATACATTTCCAAAATATGATGCCACGCTCTTTTTAACAAATGGATCCAGCAAGTGGACGATGTTTAGACAATAAAAGTCACGAACAAATTTATAAAAGACATTAGGTGTGTGACAGTGACTTACATTTTTCTGAAAGTGATAAAGTGCCTGGAACCAACTTCAATCTTCAAGTAAGTAATAACTCTGATTAGATATATAAACCAGGTACATGTACTGTGTAATCAGTGAATAATCAGGATTCAATGATTCGAACATTTTGGTGTCCTAAAAACGTTCACAGTATCTACGGTTTTCACAGTGTTTGGAAAAATTTACCTCGCATACACATAATGAAATTCAATTCTTTTTTTAGGTATGGTTTCGAAAAATGTTCAGAGTAGTCCCAAAACTCATGAAGGGAGTAGAGAAACTGCTAATTGTGAATTTACATGGTACATCGGTAATACCGATTATTTTTAGGTTACTCACAACTTGCATAACTGTTATTTTCATGTATACTTCAACTACCACGAAGGCCTAAGGCCTAAGCACCTATTGGGTAGCGTGGTGCTATAGGGGGATACACGGGAAAGGGGGAACGCCACACGGACTCTGGCGAGGGAGCACGTGTGCATGCAACATGCACACATTCTGGCTCCGAGTACGAGATCCGCCGGGTGGTACCTCCGCGTTCGACAGTCAGAGACCGTCTACCACCTAGGGACAAACACAACATCCATAGCCAAAAGAAACAAATTTTCTTGGGACGGGATTCGAACCCGCACAGCGCACGGCGACTGATCAGGAGATCGAAGAGTCTACTACTGCGGCCACCGCTGCTGTATTGTATTAAAAAAATAAGCATTTTCAAAATAAAATCAGGTTGAGCCTTATTTTACTTAAAATATCTTGTATATAATTTGAATATTTAATTCAAATTTAGCTCCACAGTGTAAGAGGGAAGTCCAAAGTTGGCACTAGGAACTCTATATTTTAAAAGGGTTTTATAACAGTTCGTATAGGTTCTATAAAAATTTCGGAGTATATCCCAGGGTTGGCGCTACAAACTTCGTGACAAACCTTAGCATTATAGATTTCCTTATAACATGCCTTTTGGTTTCAACCGTCATACAGAAGGCACGCATTTTTTGGTTATTTCTTCTCCTGACCACTTAAAGTTGAGACTATCAAGTTAATCTAGTTATGTGTGAATGGAATTAGGAGAAAATTATTGGGGTCAACCCATTGCTGAACTCTTTGGGCCAATTCTATTTTTTGACCTCCTTCTTTGGACCTTATTTTTTGGATGACCTTAAGGCACCTAAGACTTGGCTTACCCTCCCTGGGACCTTTTTTTTATCTTTACTTTTGCCTTATTTAAGATCTACGAACCTAAGCTACTACAACCGCGCCCTTACTTCTATTGATGGACATGTACTTACCGGGTGTCCCACATAGAGCTGCAGCGATCGATCACTCGAAATGTTAACTTCAAAAAATTAAAATACCTCTGTGTTATGGTATAATATAACTGATATGAGGAATTCGGCTAAGATATTTTCAAAGTGATGGAGTTTGGTTGTACCGGAAGTGGATACAAAGTTGCATATTTTGAATGGAACACCCTGTATGTTATTCATTTTTGGAAATCTTTGCAAGAATCTAAATACATTCCATGTATGACATCCGATATCTAACTCTAACCATTTTTGAGAAATATTAAACTGGTCCCTTATAGAGGGGATACTCAAGTGGGCTTCATTCGATATTTTAATAATAAACAGATGAAAATTAAATTGGAAAATGTTCAACTGAAAACCCCCTGTTTGAATATCATTAACTTAAGCAAAAAATTAGGGCAGTTTTGTATAAGGCTATATCTACTTCGCAAATTAGTAGTTTAGGAAATATTTGCAAATACTCGTTTCTATCCCTCTGTTCTTTTATTATCGGAGACATGTGACATTTCAAAAATAGTGTAGGTTTTTGTTCTGACTTTCAACACGAATAATAAGCAAAATGGTTAATAACATCGGTGTTAGTTATTTAATTGCCCCATCTGAGTCAATTTATAAAGATTTTTCACGCAGCAATTAGCGCAATATGCAATTAGTAACGTATGTTATTATAATCTTATCTATACATGTTTGAAATTTAATTAGAGAGCTCATCTGGCAGTGAATATTGCGCGGACCACCGTTTTTCAAGACTACGAAATGGTACTTCATTCTTTCTTTTTTCCTCTCTTTTTTATGTACAATACATGCACCCCTGTCACCTTGTGACTCCTTTTCAATAATTCATCGCGCCATGGCCAACAATGCTGAACTGGCCATACAAAAAGCTGTATGGAGAAGTAGAAAACGGGTATTTGCAAATATTTTGTAACCTACTAATTTGCGAAGTACATAACCTAATACAAAACTATGCTTATTTTTATTGATTTAGATGATATTATAAAAACTGCGGGCTTCCACTTAAAAAAATGGAGTTTTGTCATTTTTACAATCTAATTTTCATCCGATTTTTTCACCATTCTATCATTATTATCAAATATCGAATGAAGTAGACCCCCCTTCTATTGGAAAACAGTTACAAATCGTCCGACAAGAACAAATATGTATACGAAATATAAATATGCCTTTATGGACCTGAGTTTGTGATTTTTTTACACAAAATTTAATGTTTCTCAAAAACCGTTAGAACTAGGTATCGGATGTTATAGATTTGAAAAATTGTAGAATATACAGGGTGTTCTATTCAAAATAAGCAACTTGGTATCTACTTCCAACACAGCCGGAAGTGCCACTATTTTGCAAATATTTTAGCCGAATTCCTCATATCAGTTATACCATAACACCAAGGTTTTATAATTGTTTGATGTTAATATTTCGAGTGATCGATCGTTTTCATAATTATCTAAGGCCCATTGCTTCCATCGATCCCAAAGGCATGAAAGTTGCAAAGACAAGTTATCATTTCTTTTCTTATAGCATTGTATACGTGGTATTTGATGAAAAGTGTTCTTTTTAATAAACATAGTTTGTAGGTTTTCTTAAAAAATGTAGAAGAAAATGCTTTTGCATGATTAAATGTGTAAAATTTTAATGTATTATTTTTCCCCTCCTCTCGACATGCCGTTGTCAACTTTTGCCACACTTCTTTGAGCCTAATGCCTCTATTTGAGTTAACGAAAGCTGGTTATGGCCTCTTTCTTGTGCGAGCATAATATATCGTACCATCTGTTCTGGGCAATCATAGAAACGATGGTTTTAAGTTTCTATAATCAATTAGTATAATAGACCTGTTAAATATGAGCACCATCACAATTTGTGCTTTCTAGGTTGACCAATTTCGCAAAGGTAAAAACCAGGGACCA